CTGTGTTTGGCTCTGAATGCAGGCAGTGCAGGTACTATGCCTTAACATTATCTGGAACTAGGTTATGTTTTATTGCACATTGTTTCTAGAGGCTGCATTCAAACGCCTTCTCCATTAAACACCCCCAGGACACTCCTGTGGCTGCAGCCAGGAAAGAAGGATGTTGGCACATGAAGCTGCTCCAGAGCTTTAAAACTCACTCTTGATCTGTATATTAAGAATAGATGTACACACAGGGAGAAAAGTCTATGCTTTCAGACACATTTGCAACGAAGGCACTTTTAAAATACGTTATCACACCAAGTGCTCAGCAGATGTTGAACTAAAGCACTAAAGACAAGCACACGCTGTCCTTAAGATATGGAACTGTGAGGATGGTTAGAGCCACAACCTTCCTCTTGCAATCCCACTCAAATCAAGATGCAGAACTCAGACGGTGATCTTCTCCTTTCACTACAGCTAGTTTTCTTCCTTCTTGGGGATGCTGACTCTAGAAGAAACTATTTAGCTACCTAACCTTTGTTTTACGCAGACAGTGGTGAAGATTTAGATCTGAACTGGGCTGAATCAGTCCTTTAGTCTCCGATTAATGATTTTCCAGTCTGAAAGAGACACCCGTGGTGAACCTGAAGGATCCTGTAACACCTGACATAGTGACTATTTACGTAAAGACAGTGAATTACTTGATTTCTAACTCTCACCATTGAGAGCCACAGTTTGGAGGTGGTACAAGTTGCACCTCCCTCCACAAAGGTTTCCGAATCACCAGCTGTGTGTTAGTAGGACAACGCTTCTCCCCTTTTATTTATATCCTACAGAAATGAAAAGAGTTGTGTATACCAACAACGATGCTTTGCATCCTGCCAGCAGAGGAAAGCAAGTAGCTTTAGGTATGTACCTACATGAGGATGACAAAGCCACACTTACGCAAAAGCTGACCTCAGTCCACAAGGAGTTATCAGTGTGAGGTGCCTCCCTGAATATCAGCATTTCCTTTGGTTCTCTGGATGCAGCTTTACACCAATAAAAAGAAAAAAGCCAGTGCAGGAAGTGGCCTTTCACACTTACTCAATTAAACATTTGAAGTTTAAGAATATTCTCAGTTCAGGTTCCAGCACCCAAATACTTCAAAATTAGACCACCCTAAGAGGGTCAGCCCTTCCCAGCTGAAGCTTGCATGCACACAGCTGCTGGGATGCAGGAGATAAGCTAATTCTTTGTTTCAAACTGGTACAGGAGTGCCAGGATCAGAAAAGCAAGATGAAATGCCACATGCACTGGGAAAAGCATGATCCCAAAGGAAATACAGTCTGAGATGCCTTTAGAAGAATGAGGAAAGTGGGAAATGCCCTTAAAGTCACTCAACTCATGCAAAACAGTCTTTCCTCTACAGTCAGCCAGGGGCTTTCAGAGTACAATCCCTTCCTTGAAATCCAGGAATACCAGAGTGTTGGCACAATAGCAGAACAATGTAGGATGAAGTGTCAGGAGTCTGTGGATAACACCTGGCTTTCCACTGCCTTCACATCACACACCGGCAGCACTCGCTGCCAGCACGCAGCCAGAAATCAATCAGTGCTGAGGTAAAGAGCATCTGGCTGTCACTCAGCATTATCTGACACCGTGGGCAGAAGGGAAGGGAATTTAATCAAGTCTTCCTCTTCTGTTATACCCAAAGATGTATATGTGCGTGCTACGTCAGCCTGTAGCTTTAGGCTCTCATTTAGCCATCCAGGCTCCTGCCTGCGATGTGCCAAGGATCCAAAGCCTCCCGGTGAGCTTCTTGTATCATCTCTCTAGGAACAAAAGATACCCCGCACCAAAAACCCCTTCAAACTGGTCCAACATGAAGCAGCCCATCTGCTTCCTAAAAACGGTTGCCATGAATACATCCCTGCTGCTCCGTGCCTGCTATTTTTAAAGCTACTTGGGAGGCAGCTGAATTCACTGGCGGTTGTGCTATTTCAGTATCTAGATTAATGCTATTCAAGGAATATAGTGGGGAAACACAGCACCTGCCTGACCTATACCTGCCTCAGATGCATTTTCAGGAGACCAAGTTCTGCAATCCAACAGCAGGGTGATAAACCCACAGACAGTAGCTGCTTTTCATACACAGCACTGTAAACTGAGTTGCATCTTATCCCCAGAAGCCCCACTGGAGCATAAGGAGACTTTACAAAGGGAGGGGAAAGGACAAGCAGAAGGATACTGCAAAAACAGCTTCACTCACGAATATACCCATGGTTTAATGCAAGGCCTGAGCACAGCAAGTGTGGGAGGAAAGGGTCCCCAGTCTGCAAGACAAAAAGAAACCAAACAAGGAAACCCCAAAGCTGAATGTGCTGACAGGACCTGGACCTTTTCCAGATTGCCTCAAATTCCTAAGAGGGTTAAGTCTTAATGCATTTCAGGCAGGTTGCCCTGTAGCCATGCTGCTTTGTCCCAGCCTGGGCAGAGGAGGTGTGAGCAGCTCCCAGTCCTGGCCAGGTATATGTAACCCAGGTTGCAGTGGACTTAGGACTGGGATGGGCTGATGGGAGCTGGCAGTACGGCTTCCCACTTCACTGGTCAAATCAACCTGGTGCCACCCAGCAACACACTGAATAGATCAGATCCCCACCTCTCACCACAGACATGCACAAGCTGCTAAGTAATTGTAAATAACCTGAAAAATCTGTCTCTGGAGATCCTTATTTTATCAGACTCTTCTTTCCACACCATAGGTCACTTAATCCAGAGAAAACTGATATAGTGGGTCCTATGAAGGGCTCCTACACCTACCTCTGCCCATTTACAGACTCCAAATGCCATGGGACACCTGGTGAGACCAATTCCCTGCAAACGCGTGGGCAGATCTAGGTACTGGTCTTCCTGACCACAGCTGCACACCTCCTGTTGCCAGAGACTGCAGATGAAGCCCAAAATCGATTACAGAGCAAACACCAGACTCTTTTTTTACATAAGCAGCTCTCATAAGATGACCTGAAAGGCACTGCACAACCTCAAACACAATCAGTTCTGAAAGTGATTGATTTCAGAGAAACAATCACAGATCCTAAATAATGTACAGACGTCTAACAAAACACGGACAAAGCACCTCCTCTTTAATCCTTCCCCAGATCCAAAGAGTATCAGAAAAGTCATGGAAATGACCAGAGGAGCACAGAAAGACATCATTTGGGAGCCTCTCCACACAGTAACTCATCTCCTCAGCATTCCTGGAAATTCATCCCTCCTGAAGTTTCTCTAACTGCAACAGGGGGAAATATTTGGAAGAGGTCAAACAATTCAATACCACTGAGACCTGTAACTTCTCAGGCAGGAACAGGTTTCCATGTGCTTTCAGTTAGTGCACAGACAGGTTAGGGGAAAGGCAGCAAACCCAACAGCCTACTTCCCCTTTGCTCGTTTACAAGCAGTCAAGGCGGTTGAGAGCAATGTATGTGTTTGGTTTGAATTACAGACAGTTTCACTGCTGGAACACATCTGCAACGCACCGTGCTGAGTGAACTGCTGAACCCCAGCCAGCTCACAAACAACCCAATGCTGGCAGCAGCAGCAAACCCCACTGATGGCTCCTAGAAGCTGCTTTTAGGGACAGCAAGGAGAAGGAGATGGATATTTCTCAGCACAGGCTTTTCCCAAGACACCCTCCAGTTCAACTCAGTTTATTATGGCTCCAGGAAGCAGAGGGGTTAATTTCTTTCCAAGTTCACATACTGTTTGAATTCCTTAGATAAGCTGCTTCCACCAAACGCAAGGACCCAGCCTCGGGGGAGAACACTGTAAGGAAAAGCTCTTTTGATAGATTTTCTTCAAAAGAGAAATTAATTCAAAGTCCATTTTTGGAGGTTGTTCCACGCCCACAGCTTCAGATGGGGTTGCACTGTGCCTCTGGAAGAAACACTAAGCTTTGAGCAAAGCCCCACCACTTCTATGTGCAAGACACAAATGTTTGAGGCTTGCACAATAAAAATCTTCTCTCCTGAAATGAGAAAGCTCTGTTTGCAGCACCACAAAGAGGAAAACCAGACCAAAGGAGGCTTTAACTCTGGGATAAAGCAGTTAACAGCTAGCACAAACTACTCCTGTCCCTTTAAAACCGAGCACTCACTCAGAAAAGCAAAAAAACAAGTTTTGAAAGCCACTGAAGGCTTCCTTCACATCTTGAGGCAGAAAGCAAGCAAGTCTGGGCTGCTCTGGAATTCGTGTTTGCATACTGCTGGTGATAATCTATGTGCATAGCTGGAAACAAAACAAGGTTTTATTAGCAATTAGTAGCAGGAGGGGGGACAGACCTGCCTGAAGCAGGCAGAGGAATGCCAATACCTGATGGAAGAACAACACTGTACAACGTGCAGCAGAAGGAACCCAATGTGACAGATCGCATATAGGAGAAAACAGCGCATCTCTAGACTTGGGAGATGCAATGGCATCAGTTCAAGCAGATAAACCATGTCTTTAACACTGACAACTTTGACTCCAGGCAGCAGTTTTCCCTTGCACAGCAATTTGCAATGCAAAGCAAGCTACTTCTGCTCTTACCAAGAAGAGAAATTGAGAATCAAAGGAGGAAAGCAAAGTTGGGATGGGTTGATTTGCTTAGATACAGCTTTCTACAGAGTTGAGTTTCAAGTCAGGCATGAGAGCAATAAAGCATAGGGTCTGGAACACAGTGTGAGAACTTGGGCAAGGACAAGGGGGAGAAAATAGGATTTCATCCAAAATAAACCCCAGTCCCTTTCAGGGGAGCAACTCCTGCTCCCTCTCCATGTCTCTGAAAAATGCAGTCCAGCTCTGATCAGCCAACACCACCCAGGTTCAGAGCTCTCCAGCTATGTACTGTGAGAATGATGTGGCATGTGGGGCCCTACAACACATCTATTAAAATCCCATCAAGGGGTAGGCAAGTGGTAGCCATATGCTAAAGCACTCAAGTGAAGAATAACCAGGGGAAGGAGGACAGCCAGGAACCAAGTGTGCAAGCAGCTTCTTACCTGGTGGATAAGCTAGCAAAGTCTCCTCCATCTAGCAGCCTGATTTTGCAGAACAGAACCCCATTGACGAAGGGGACGGCAGTCAGCTCTTCTAGAGTGAAGCTGGTTTGAAACTTGAATTTCTTCTTTTTCATCAGGAAAGCCATGGGCAAATTCAGCGTGGCAAGCCCAGGGATCCCAAACAAGATGAGGGAGGAGCAGCTCAAAACACACACAGACAAGCAGAGAAAGAGCACTCGTTCCGGGAACGCAAGCAGGGAGTAAATTCCAGTTCAGTTACAACGATGGCCCAGCTTCAAACACACAATACTCTTCTCTTTGGTGGTCGGATCTGGCTGTGGGATCATCGCCACGGCAGGCTTCAGGTGAGGAGGAAGAGGTCAGATTAAATCTCTGCAACATCTCCAAGGGAAAAGGGAGGGAGAGAAGTCAGTCTCAGCTCCAGACCAGCAGGAGCTGTCCCAGTTAGAGGCCACAGTGCTCTGCCTTCAGCACAACCCCTCCAGAAAGCATCTCTTCTCAGAAGTCATCTTGAGTCTCCAAAGAAGCCTTAAGTCTGTGGGCAGCACATTCAGAGAGCTTCCAGTTTCTATCTCCTCCTCTTGTGCAACTCCTTGGTACAGGTCTTCGGGTCAGCCTTTGGGAGGGAAATGAGTAAATTAGTCCCAGCCAGTCTCGGGCTCCACCTCCTCCTCTAAAACCTGTTTGGATGGGTAATATTCACTCCAGACTCATACCATTCTTAAGAGGTATGGCCCCAATTAGCCTGGCCCCAACATCCTCTTCCCCCTATTTGCCTAAAGCAAGCTTCACTGTTGTCATCCCCTTGTAATTTCTGTTTTGCAAAGCAACTAATAAAAATCTGCTCTATTTTCAGCCATCATCTTCAGAAGCAGCTGGACAGAGCAAGGTCAGTCTAACAAGATTAAGCAAAAGCCACCTCAAGAAACACAAAAATCTGTTTCTTTTCTGTATTTCCAACCAGCCCCGAGTGTCAGACCGGAATCTTGTAACTGGAGAAAGCAGCAAGAGAGGGAAGAGAAAGCAGCAGAGGAGGGAGAGAAAGAGCAGTCTGCTCCAGATTACACAGCGTAACAACCGAATCAGGTCATCTGGCTGTCCAATAGACAGGCCCACCGAGTCTGCTGCCTTCCCCCAGCACCAGGTCCACACCAAGCCGTGCCCTGAAAGGGCAGTTTTGGGGCTGGAGGTGGTCATTTCATCACACATTTACACAACACCAAAGCCAGGGAGGGAAGACCTGAAGAGCATCCAAAGGGATGATGTTATGAACACCAGGCAGTAAGCAATCCGTGCCAATATGAAGAATTAATGACTGCAAACCAAGGCAGGCGAAACTCCTGATGCCCGTAGGGGTGTGTGGTTAAAGCCCCTCTCCTGCTCGGGCAGACTGGTGACTGCTCTGCACCACCATGAGCTGTACCTGCCCCCTCTGCCCCTGCACTGAGCTGCTGCTGGGTCTCAGCCTGCCCTCCAGCCGCCTGGACTATGCATGGAGCTGGGGACAGGTCTCAGCCCACCTCTGGGCTCTGTACATCACACACTGGGTTGCAGAGAGGTCACAGCCCGTGCCCTGGCGCCCCTGGGCCATGTGCTGAGATGTGGTCAGGTCTCAGCTTGCATTCTAAGCCATGCAGTGAACGGTGGCCAGGTCTCAGCCTGCCTCTGGGCTCCGTGGACCACACACCAGGCTGCACCCAGGTCTCAGCCTCTACCCCAGCCCCAAGGGCCATGCACTGAGCCATGGCCAGCCCTCAGCCTAGCTATGAGCCTATGAGCCATGCACTGAGCTGCTGCCAGGTCTCAGCCCTGCTCCCAACCCATGCACTGAGCTGCAGCCAGGTCTCAACCCCATTCCTAGCCCATATGCTGAACTGCAGCCGGGTCTCAGCCCCACTCCCAGGCCACGCTCTGAGCTGCAGCCAGGTCTCAACCCCATTCCCAGCCCATGCACTGAGCTGCAGCCAGGTCTCAGCCCCGCTCCCAACCCATGCACCGAGCTGCAGCCAGGTCTCAGCTCCTCTCCCGGTCCTCAATCACAAGCTGCCCTACGGGAGCTCTCAGCCCGCTTCCCGGCCCCTTCCACCGACCTGCGGTCCGGTCCCGGCCCGGTGCCTGCCCGGCCCTGCTTCTGCCTTCTCCTCACGGCCGCCGCTGCTGCTCCCCGCCACAGCCACCTCTGGTAGAGCTACGCCAACTGCGCCCGCTACGCCAACGCCGCAAGCAGCCCAAAGCAACAACGCCACCAAGACGCTTCGAGAATACCACTCCGACGCTACGTAACCCCTCCCTCCATCCCCGAGGAGGCAGACGGGGACCACGAGAGCGGAGCCGTCTGATTGGACCAGCGGCAAGGAGGCGGGACGAGAGGAACAAGGCTTTGATTCGCTTCTCCGGCACGGGGCGGGGAATAGAGCGCGGTGATTGGAGGTGGAGGCTGTCGGTTGGGGTAAGCCCCGCCTCCTGGCTGAGGCGGTGGGCGGGAAGCGGGGGGTGATGATGCGGCGCCGGTGCCGCCTCAGCGGGCCGGTGGAGGCATGGCTGCTGCGGGCAGCTGGTCCTTCGGCTTCCCACCGTCTCCATGGTGTTCCATAGCCCCAGCTGGCACTGCGGTGTGCGGGGCTGGCTGAGGGGAGGACAGGCCTCGGCCGCTGGGCTGAGGTGATGGGAGAGGCGGCTCTGACAGACGTGGTCTGTGTCCGCCACCTCGTCCTCCCTCAGCGCCCGCGGGTACCACAGAGCGCGTTATGGGTTAGACTGAGCAGGAGGGAGGCCTTGGCACCGCAAAGGCAGCACGGGGCAGGGTCTCACCGTGAGATGTGGCAACTAAACACATCTCCTCCTCGGCATGGCTCCCTGTTATTAGGTGTCGCTGCTGGGATCGCTGGTCAGGCAGGATTCCAGCGTTTAAGGGCCGTCGGAACAAAATGTCTCTCCTCATCCCGGAGGAGTTCGCAATTATCAAGGTGATTTGCCTGGGTTTTAAGTTAGGGATGTGCCTGAGAGTCTCTGTGGCAGAGAAGTTGAGGCTCGTATGGGAGGGGCTTTTCCCAGGGATGGTTTGCTGGTGTCTGGCAAAGCTTGGATGGAAGCTTGGGAATCCTCCTTCTCTTTGCCAGGCTTTGATGCCCGGGCTCTTTGCCTTTAATCTTTGGCATCTTTGCAGACAATATCAGAGCTATCAAAGAATTCTACCTCAACGTGAGCCTTGAGACTGCTGGGAAGAGTACAGGGCTACATCACCTGTCTGAAAGTTAACTGCATGAAGCCAATTGCTTTGTAATGATTTGTATTTGTTATGAGGCCGGGTTAAGCAGATACACAGGCTGGGAGCACATTCCACACTGGGGAAGGCATCACAGCCTTCCCATACAACAGGAGGCTGCTTATAAAGGTAGGGCCTGAATCATTAAATCCATTGATATCTGGAGACATTGCTAGAGATGAGCTGGGTTTTTACTGCTTTCTGTTTCTCAGTTTATTGGGATAGAGCCCAGCCTGCTAAATATTTACTATCTGCCAAGCTGGGATGCTGAATGCTGGAAGCAGCTGAAGAATCCAGGCTGGTCCCTCACGCATCCCATTCCCTGAGCACACTCTGACACACGTGTCCATCTTTCCTTTCCATCACTAGCAAAAGGACAAACGAGCCCTGTGTTTGTGCTGTGGGAGGAGGCTGTGTGTTATCTGCGATGATTCACCCTGATAAATAACCTCCTCGGAGGCCTGCTCTTGTTTATAGCAACAGCCCCAAATGCTGAAGATGACAGAGATTTCCATGCGTGCTCTTCTCATGCATATTTACCCAGCAGTTTTATCAGAACCATCTCAAGCAAACCTCAGTGTTTTTATGATTAATTGGCTAATGGTAAAAATAAAGGCATTTGGAGAGGTGCCCAGTGAGCTGCTGAGCAGTGTGTAATATAGCAACCGGAGCTGGAGTCTCAGGGGTATGGATATTTTCCTAGCAAACGCAGTCTCATGACTTAGCGATTAAATCTTTATGAGTCTGAAATTCACCCTGTTGATTTTCTTTTTCTCTGTTTATGCTGCAGGATTGTTTCTGGGAAAATCCACATTGGTTTAAAGGGACAGTGCTCCTTCTGCTCCCAGAGCGGGTGAGTTACTCTGAGCCCCACAGCGCAGGGCATCCCCATCTATCCACCATCCCCTTGGCTTTATATTACTTTCCAGTCCCTCCACTGAGGAGCTGTGTGTGGATGTGAACAGGGCACTGACATATAGATTCTCCTTACCCCAGGCTCAAATGCTGTTGATTTCTCCTCTGCCTCAGCCCTGCTGTTCCCACCTCACCTCTGCTCCGTGAACCTCAGCTCCGTGCTCTCCCTGACCTAAGCCTTTCCTGATGCTGCTCTCCAGTTGCTGCCACCACTTCCTCAGTTTTTGCTGGCTCAGGGCATTGTTTTATCAGGCTGGGATAGTTTTATCAGTCTGGGCTCTGCAGTTAAGCCTGAGCCTCACCTCTGCTGTCATTGGAGAAGTGTGTCACACCGGCCAGGAGCTGGGATCTCTGCTCTGCTCAGCTTGTGGCTGTGAGTGTGCAGGTCCAGAGGTGGTTTTCCTTGCCTACTCTCTTTTGAGGCTTGAGATAAAGCAGCAGGAGTAGAAATAAGGCAAGAGGAATTCAAAAGGGACAAAACACAGTGAGGTGAAGCGAGATGGATTCCGTAATGCACTTGGTGAGCCATCAAATCCTCTCTCTTATCCCAGGGGAATCCCAGATGCACGAGCAAATCATCAAGCCCTGCAAACTACATCATCAGCATCTTCCTCTGGAAAACATCATCATGTTAATCCATTTGTCCTGGCAGCCAGATGATTGAGGTTTGAAAACTAAATGACACACGTTTGCTGCAACAGCATAAACGCAATAATGGCTCTCCTCCATTACACTTGTAACCTGGTTATAATGGCTTTAATGAGCTTTCAGCCTTGTCAGCCAAAAAGAAAGATTATCACATGTTGCTTTATATTATAAAGTGTCCTTTGTGCTGCTGGTGGCTGAGTACCTGCAGTCATTCACTGCATGAGGTGCCTGTGGTGGGTGGGTGCCTATCCCAAAGCTGGGGGGCTCCCAAAACGGGGCAGGACATGGCAGTGGTGTGAGCCCTGTAGGCTGCTGGACACCCTGTGAGGGGAACAGGTACCTGTTCCCATTACACAGGATTATCCTACGGTGTGGAGTTACTCCAACCATGTGTCTTCCCAGCTTAACTTAATAACAGGCTGCGAGCTCTACTTTGATGTGCTCCTGTTTTTCACTAGTTCCATATTTAACTGAACTCATCATCAGAAACTGGAACTGTTTCACTTTCAGTGCCAGGCTGGGCTTCCTGTTGGACTGGCAAAGGACACACCTGCACGGTGGGTTTCTGCTGGGATGGGGGATTCTGTTATCAACCGGGACAAAGGGAGCACAGGAATCTGGAGCTGGTGGATTCCTTTCCCCAAACATGTGGCCAGACCTGTAAATCCAGCTGCCTGTCTTTTTCTGTTTACTGGTTTCCATGTCTGCTCCAGTATGTCCTGGGAATGTACGGCAGGACTCTCCGCTTCTTCCTGGGAAGCCTGTGGGTGGAACTGGAGCTGGTTTGCCCCTTCCAAAACCTGCCTCAAGGCTTCTTGTGTTTATTAAACACCATCCCATGTCTGTACCCTGGGTATTGCCTTTAGTGCTCTGCTGGCCATGGGCTCTTGCACTGGTTCTGTGCTTCTGGCTGTGCCCCACAAGTGCCGCTATTACCCCAAACACAGCAGAAACAACTAGTTGTGGTTCCACTCGACAAGGCAACCTCTAATTTGGGATCCCAGCAATAGAATAACAGAAACTGTCCCTGCTGGGGCTGGGCCTCTGCCGTGGGTTAATCACCTCACAGAGCTGGGACCCAAGGGCTCGTGAAGGCTCAAAGAGGGGAGATTGAGATGAGCTCTTAGGCAGAAGCTCTTCCCTGTGAGGGTGCTGAGGCGCTGGCACAGGGTGCCCAGAGAAGCTGTGGCTGCCCCATCCCTGGCAGTGTTCAAGGCCAGGTTGGACACAGGGGCTTGGAGCAAGCTGCTCCAGTGGAAGGGGTCCCTGCCCGTGGCAGGGGACTGGAGCTGGATGAGCTTTAAGGTCCCTTCCAACACAAACCATTTGATGAGTCTAATATTAAACACTTCAATTTTCATACTTACCAGACCACACGTGCTGACAGTACCTGCTGGCAATAACCTCTTAGATGGCAACAGGAAAAAGACAGAAAACCCCCAGAAGATTGCTTTGCCAAAACAGGCTTGACAAACTTTAAAGACATGCTGGAGGAGGTGGAGGTAATTTGGGTGAGCATTAGGTGATTTCATCCTGTCCCTTGGCAGGGATCTACTCCAGGACTGTGATGTAGCTATGGCATCATGCTGCACCTGTGGGATGCTCAGCTGTTTATGTGTGGTTTTCTTAAATAAAGTTAAAACCTGTCCCTTTGCTTATAAGTAAAGAATTTTTTGTTTTTTTTTTTTTTTTTCCTGTGCCTGCCCATTCAGTTCTGTAATGAACTCATCCCAAAGAGAGACATGGGATCCCCACATCTCAGTGTCCTCTGCCTGTGTTTTCAGAAGCAGAGGGACCCAGTTTGTGTTCCTGGGCATAGAACCACAAACTGGTTTGGGTTGGAAGGGACCTTGAAGCTCATCCAGTTCCAATCCCTTGCCATGGGCAGGGGCACCTTCGACTAGAGCAGGTTTCTATGGGTACCTGTGTTCCCCATCACTGGGCTTTGCCCGTTGAACTTCTCCCTCTCCATGCTCTCAGTCCTGAAGGGATTCATCAGTGAGAGGAAGAAGCAGGATCACAACAGGTCTGGAGGACCAGGGTCATTTCATCCTGCCAGGGACATCGAAGGGCTTTGCTGCGGCTCAGGATCCCCTGAGGCCCCCTTGCCCCGTTGCACAGTGCCATCTCCTGGAGAGCCGTGCCTAAGCTGCACGCAGATCTGATGCTGAAGCAGCAAGTGGTGCTGCCAGCTAGAGGTGCTGCCTCAGCCACAGGAGTTATCTCCGACACACCGAGAGTAGATTCCTCACCGAACCTCTCTTCCTCCAGCAGGTACAAAGGAAGCTGTTCGTTGCCTGGCTGCTTGCTCTCACCTCCGGGGTACCCTGTGACAGAGCATCCCTGCTCTGGATGCCAAACACAAACCTCTAGGCACAAAAAGAACAGTAAGAGAGCACAGATGAACATCTTTAGATGTTACTCCTTAGCTTTTGTTCAGCTTAGGCACCAGTTTCCAGTTGTACACACTGTGTATACGTTCACCCTGTACCCATTCCTCCTGGTTGTAACTTTAAGGGACGCTTCTTTCCCTCCCCAGATTTGATGACCTGGTCATGAGCAACAACCAAGCCCCTCATCGCAGTGCTCACCCTGTATTTAAAACATTGCTACATCTCTTTTAATGACACAAAAACGTCTATGGGGAACTTGGGGCTGAATGTTGCTGCCTTGAGTAAGCTCTATTTTTAACCTGAAAAGACAAGGAAAATGGGTGGTTCCAAGAGCAACACCTTTTAGTCCCATGAAACACAGCTTAAGTGCTTAGTCACTGAAAAAATGCACTCTGCAATTGAAAGCCAAAGGCTGCTGCTTCATGCATCATTTTAGGCTGTTGTGGCATCTTCTGAGCAGTTGGTTCAGTAAGCTGTTGCTACACAAGAGAATAACCAGTGCTCCAAGGTAAGGCTTAAAGCTGCTGTTTGTAAAGACCATAATTAGCTAAATACAAGGCCATGAAGTTCACAAAGGAGAGAAAAGACTACCCTGACCTGTGGCTGTTCACAGCTTTGGCCTTTTCTCTGTGTTGCAAACCTCACAAACTCCTTTTTGCCAATGAACTGAAGCAGCCTGTTTACCAAAACCGTGTTTCTTTTAATTAAAATTCGTATCTGGAAAGGAGAAATGACACAAATGAGGTAAATCAACACTGGGAACAGGAGGTTTCACTCGAAAAATAAAGTTCCATTGAGCAATTGATTTGATTCCACGAAGTCTGAGAGGAAGTGTCTGGTGAGTGTTACTCGTGGGGCTGACTCAGTGAGATATCAGTGCCAAAGGGTCAGGAGTCTTCAGGGCCTAAGCCCTTCTCACTGCACTGTCCCATCCTGCCCCACCAGATTGCAGAGGGGAGATGAGGAAAGGCCAGGGCCAGGCAGTGGCTCTCTAACCAGGGGTCTCCTTCAGCATCCCCTCAGAAAAGGCTGTGTAAAGGTTTCACTTGACTGTGCAGATTCTCTCCCTCCTTGGTCCTTGCTCATCTCCCAGCCCTAAAGGAGACTTAACAGCAAGCAAGTAACAGCTCTGAAGAAGTTCCATTTCAAAGTTAATATCTGGCAAGGAACAAGCTCATTAAATGTGACACACTTTGCAAGGGAGAAGGAGTTTTGCTTCTTTGTCTTTTCCTTTGACGTTTGCTTCCATGCACGTACAAACGGAGCTTTTCATCTTAGAAGTTTATGAAGTTACTGCAAGTTTGCAAGAATCACATTGACTATCCTGTGAAATGAAGCTTTCTCATTGAGGACCTCCCAGAGTGGCTGCTAGGATGTTTTACCCTGTATCACAGTAAGGACATCGTGAGGTGAACTCCATGCCACTGAAGCAACTAACAAAGAGCTGGACTGGCTTCCAGCTCCTCACAGGTACAGAACCACCTTCACCACCAGCAGCAGAACCAAGTCACGCTCCAAAATTCACCCAATTCAGTCAGTGCCTGACAAACTCCTAAAGGCTGGGAATTCCTGCCAGGCTGAGGCTCTGTGGTCCAGGTCCACTGTGATGGATCAAGGCATTATGGAGTGACAGAGATGGAGATTTACCTGTTACACCCACTCGAGAGAAACTCATCCAGGCTTGTGTGCATTAAGCTGAGACAGGTAAGACATTGCTCCAACACATATCCCAGGGCAGCATGTGGTAACCAAGAGACTTTCATCCCAGCTGCCAAGTTAGTAGTGAAATTCCATGACCACACGCAGATAGAACATGAGGCGAATGCGCTATTTGAATCCCATTTGTATCCTCAGGGGATGCAGGTGGGATTTAAACCGCATGGAGGCTTGGCACTGGTCTGCACGGGCTGGATGTCACACTGCAAGAGCAGTATCCATAACTCGCAGTGCAGAGAGAAGGCTGCACCACATCTGGTACCAGGTTTCCACTAAGTGCTTTCAGCAAGAGACAGAAATTCATTCACTGCCATGCACTGCTGGTGACAACTGTACCCTGGTAGCTGCAGTGCCTTGATAGCATAAGGCTCTCCATGTTAGAAGTCAGTTAAAGGCTGTAGAGTGAGAGGGAAGGACAGAGGTGCCACACTGAGGAGAGGGATTTTCAAACAGAAACTTAAAAAATAACTGTTTTTTTTAATAACAACTCCATTGTTTGAGGAACTAAAGCAACCACTGGTAAGTTCCTGGTTTATTACGCATCCTGCTATGGCTCTCTGAGGAGTCTGAAAAGGCAGATTAGCATACGATTAGCAGAGAAAGAAAGCTGTTTAGGCTCAGACTCCAAGGCAAGCCATGTCACACTGACACCCCCTGGGTCCTCCAGCAGCACCAGCAGGCTTTTTCCCCCCAGACAGATGTCCCATAGAAGAGCTCAGGTTGGGAAAGCCCCATTACAATCATCGAGTCCAGTGCTGCCAAGTCCACCATGAAACCACATCCCTAAGCGCCACATGAACATGTCTTGGTGTCTCCACCACTTCCCTGGGTGTCTCCACCACTTCCAGTGCAGGACAAGCCTTTCCGTGAAGAGATTTTTCTCCCCAATAGCCCAACTAAACCTCCCCTCCCATCCCTGTTTCCTTCACTGGATCATGCCATCCTGCTGCCCCGTCTGGCTGGGGTCAGTGGTGACCGACGGGCTGGGTGTATTGCTCTGCAGAAACCGACGGAAGTCCTTAATCATGGGGCGGAGGACCTGGATGAGGGCGCTCAGCGCTGCCTGCGTTCCTTCCATGGCTTGTGCCTGTCGCTCCTGGGCGCACGCCTGCACCTCCTGAGAGCGCCGGATCATCTGAAGCAAGTCATTCTGCTGCTCCAAGTGCTGGGCAATCTCCTTCACGTGCAGGTTGGTCACGCGCTGCTCCTGCAAGAGCTTGGCCGAGTTCAGAGCGATTCGGCTCTTCAGCTCCTGGGGTTTCGCAGCCACTTCGTGCTGATGCGCCATCATCTCCAGAGGTGCCTCTGCGGTGACTGTGGCGGGGGCTTCTGTCGTGCAGTACTCCACGACCCCGTCCTCCAGGCTGTGGTAGGTTGTCTCTGCAGGAACTGAGAACAAAGGACACAAAGGGGGTGAGCCGGAGCTGGGAGGTTTATCTATGGGACTATTCAATGGCTATCACAAGAATACTGCCTGCTCCCTGAGATAACATACAACCACCAATGCACAAAATGACCTATTGAAGTCTACTCCACCCTCATTCACCCTTCCTCCTAGACTGTACAGTCCGAAGGAACAGGCCATGCCTTATCTGTCCAGACAAAACCATTTCTCAGCCTCCAGTTCAAACAATCTTTCCCAGCAGCATTCACCAATGACGTCAGGGCAAAGACAAGACCCTGAGTGGCACTTGTGACCATGGGGCAGAGTGGGGAACCAGCCCTGGAGATGCTTTTCCTCCTGTTTCTGTCCCCAGAAAGGGGGACTGGAGATCTGTGAGGTGCAAAGGATATTTAGAGTCATAGAATGGTTTGGGTTGGAAAGGACCTTGAGATCATCCAGTTCCAACCCCCTGCCATGGGCAGGGACACCTCACACTAGATCATGCCGCCCAAGGCTCTGTCCAAGCTGGCCTTGAACACTGCCAGGGATGGAGCATTCACAGCCTCCCTGGGCAACCCATTCCAGTGCCTCACCACCCTTACAGTAAAGAACTTATTCCTTATACCCAATCTAAACTTCCCCTGTTTGGGTTTGAACCCGTTACCCCTTGGCCTATCACTACAGTCCCTAATGAGGAGTCCCTCCAGCATCCTTGTAGCCCCCTTCACATACTGGAAGGCTGCTCTATTTGCTTCCCTTGTCCTTAAGGCTGAGCTCAGCCACTATATATGTGTACCCTGCAGCCATTCCCTACAGCACAAGGACATACTGGGAATGCCATTTTCCAAACAGAGACAGGGGAGGGTTCTTTTTGCTGGGGCTTTCCCCATACAGCGCCCAGGCGGGTACCAATGTCCCTTGTTACTGAGACCAGTGCCTCTCCAGCAGGCGCAGCACTCACTCTGGGTCAGGGTGACCGTGGTGGCTGCCGCGGTGATGGGTATCTCGCTCCCGTCACCCGCGCTGCAGTCCCCACTCGGCAAACTGATGATGGTGGCTTCTCCCAGCAGGTTACAGATGCGCTGCTGCATGGGGGTCAGGATAACAGGGGCGGCCGCGGCGCCCGTCGGGTCCTCGCTCTCCGTCCCGTTGCCACCGCCGCCGTTGTGGCCGTCGCTTCCCCCTTCCATGGCGGCCCGCACCTGGGCCACTTTCCGCCGCACCTCGGTCTTGAGATCCGACCACTTCTTCTTGACCTCGGGCAGCTCGCGGTGGCACGTGGCGACGGCGTTGACGCGGCGCAGGATGTCGTGCCAGGCCGCGGCCTTGGCGGCCAAGGGGACGCCGGCGTTGAAGTGGTTGATGAGGAGGTGCTTGCCCCGCTCCAGCTCCTCCACGATGATCTCCACCTCCCGCTCCGAGAAGTTCATCTTCCGCTTCTTGGCTGGGGGAGCCGGGGGAGACGCCATGGCCACAGGGGGGGGGACACTCAATAGGGGGCTATGAGGGGGGCTCCTGCGGGTCAGGGGGGGGGTCTAGGGGAGGTTGGGCCGGCCGCCCCCCCCCGGGCCTCCTCACCCCCGGGGTCCCTCAAGGCCCCGAGGTGTCCGCCCCCCCACCCCGCTCCCCCCCCTTAGCACCGCTAACGATACGCAAATTGCGTACCGCAGCCACACAGCGAGCCCCGCTCAACGGCCTCCACCCTGCGACACTGGCGTAATGGCTTCCAGAATCAGCCCCCTTTCCTGCCTCGTCTGATTGGGCTGTCCTCCTGTCACTCAGGCGGAAGGGCCCGCCTCTCGCCGGCAGAGCGGCGCTGTCATTGGTCAGCCG